CAGCACTTGGTGCCAAAGGGAACTGAAATCATACATTCTTTTCTCCCAGTGGCTTGGTGTTCTTTAGTTTAAATGCTAATTAACAGTTTTTAAAATCAAGAGGTGTGATGAGTTTACACTTGGAACAATTCAAGGGCTTTGAATGGTTTGGATGTTTTTATGGTACCCTGACAATATAATAATATTCATGCATGTACATATATTATTCTTGAATGTTCCAGACACTTCATGCATACTATTTTTATAATTGTTTTAATCCCCTTGTCCCATGTTGCAGACTGTTAGTTGAAAAGAGAAACAATGGCTTGCCTAAAAATACCCAGTGAATTTATGGCAAGGTAAAACGGCAGTTTCCTTCCTCATTCTCAACCTTCCTCATTCCTCTTGACTTTGCTTTCCTCAGCCTCACCTTCCCAGATGTGAACATCTGATGCCGTGACAACAGGTACAGCTGCTTCATATAAACCATGAGTTCAGCAGATAGCCTTAGGCAAGCAACTCCTCAGTACACTTTAAATGTTGACAGAACTACAAAACTGCAAAATAATACACGAAAAAAGTCAAGAGGGGGGAAATCTCCAACCTAAAGCAACGAGTTAGTAGCCCTAAAATATACGTAATTTAGGAAAATAATTTCTATCATATAGTCTTCAATCAAAACTTGTCAGTTAGTAAGAAAAATTGAGACTGTATGTGCGTGGTAGACATGACAAGCTTTAATCTATTCATCATTCACAAAGTAAGTATGTACCTAATGAACTTTTGCTGACTAGGACTGAATGACGAGGCTTTAAAGATTTGTTTATAGATAAGAGATGAGATATGGGAAGAAGAGATCATTTGTTGTATTTTAAGAGAAGGTGTTAAGTTACTAAAATTGTTTATAGTTATTATGAAGGGGGAAGTCATTTCTTTAAATATTTATATTTTTCTTTACTATATTCTTATTTTTTCTTTCTTTTCTATTTTTCTATTTCCTTTTTTCTACCTTTTTTTCTGTACTATTTGTTTTTTGTATTTCTTTTTTAAGTTTGTATTTTTTTAATTGTAATGCTTAATAATTACTTAACAAGTACTATTAAAAAACAAAACAAAATATGTATGTACCTGACCAAAGTTTTAGACTTTGTGTGAAACCAAGTTTATTTTATCAGAAGCAGCATACTTTCTCCTAAGCTTGTTTTGGAGATAAATAAATATACTTTAAAATCAGATTGTGATAATCCCAAACTGATAAACTTACTGGTTTTTCTCCTGATAGTATATTAACTTAGGGGTGGGAGATGAATATTATATTCTGTTTTTTTTCCTCAGAGGACCAGTTGATCATGAACATTTATAACTTTATTTAACAACAATATTATATAAACAACTGCTTCTGTTCAGATTTCTTGGGCCTGTTGTTCAGTCACTCCAACTCTTTGTGATTCAGTGAACATCATTTTACCAAGATTAGCAACTGTCAGTAACAGTTTTGCTGAATTCTTGTAATCACTTGTGTCATCATTGTGAGGATCTAACACCTTCTCTTCCATTGGTTTCTTTTTCAATTGTCTTCAATTTTTTCCAAGCATCAGGGTTTTATCCAGTAATTTTTGTATTCCCAAGATGTGTTCAAAATATCTAAGCTTTGGTTTTGTTATTAGTTGTTCCAGTGAATAGCCTGGTTTTACTTCCCTTATTACAGTATTCAATTATTTGTTCTTCTTCCTGTCTAAGGTATTTTCAACAATTTTCTCCAGCACTGCAGTTGAAAAGCAATGGATGTCCAACTTTCACAGCCATGTTATAATGGGGAAAACCATAGCTCTGACAATGAATACCTTTGCTGTCAGTATGATGTCTTGGTATCTAGATTTGTCGTAGTCTTTCTCCCAAGTAGCTTTCTTTTCTTTATTTCATGGCTACAGTGACCACTGAATTTTTAAGCCTATGAAGCTAAAGCCTCTTATTACTTCAATTTCTTCTCCTATTTCCATTGGGCTGACATGCCATAGCTATTTTTTTTAACATGGACCATCATACCAGCTTTTGCACTCTCTTCTTTCATTTTCCATAAGAGATTTCTTAAATCTTCTTCATGTCCAACTGTCAAAATGTCTAAGGGTGTTGATATTTCTCTTAGCAATTTTAATCTCAGCTCTATTTCTTCTAGTCCAGTATTTCTCATTATATATTCTGTATGCAAATTGAATAATGTGTATGTTGCTATCCGATCATCACAAATTTTTCAATAGGCGGATGAGGTGGCCCAGGGCACCCATGTTTTTAAGAGCTATTCACAATTTCTTATAATCTATACAGTCAAAAGCCATTGCACAATTTGCAATTGTTTATCAAGCCATTATTTATCAGATGTTGAATATGATATGACTGTGGGTAACCCTGCTGAATCCTAGTTGTACATCTGACAGTTCTTGTTCACTGTTATTTTAAAGTCTGGATTACATTCATTAGCACTGCCCTTTTTCAAAATTGAAATATAAATCAGTCTTTTCCAGTTCCTTGACCACTGATATATCTGCTTACAAACAACTAGAAGCACTTCAAGAGAATCATCTTTTAAGATTGGGTTGCTATTTGGATCATACATAGGGTCGCTCCTCACTTATGACCTGACCATCAAGGGTAACAATGCTGGGAGTATGCACCCTCAAGAGTATTGCTCATAGCATCATTGGGATGTGCAAGCCCTTTCACCACTACGAGGCAATGATCCACGAAATGGCCTTGCTTATTCATACTATAATAACTCAGTTTCTTCATAAGAGCCACTAATGTCTTGCCTTGTCTTTTTATACTATTGTTACTTTTTCTCACCCCTTTTCTCAACTGCTTCTATCTTCTCTTCTTCTTTCCTTTTCTTAGCTTTTACACCATCTTTCTTAAAGAAAATGCCCAATTACTCTTTCACTTGCTATTTTACTATTCCTTCTCTGTTGCTCTTCCTGCCCTTTGGAATGAGCTCCCTACCGAGATGGAGGAGGCCCTGACCCTACAAGGCCAGGATGGTAATTGAGCCCCTTCTGTTAAGAAAGAGAGTGGCTGTTATTTCCAGCCTCAGCTATGTATATATGGTTGTGGTTTTTTAAAAAATATATTGGTTTTACACATGCCTGCTGCCCAGAGTCATAATGTATGAGTTGGGAGGCCTTATAAATAAAATATAAATTCTACTAAAGGCACATTAAAGATGAGCCACTATGGGGAAAGGTGATGCTGATAGCACTTTCTCAACTTGTTTTCTGGTTAATTGTTTCTGAGAAGTGATTTTCTTTTTGGTTTTAATCAGACTTTTGTCATGCACACAAGTATTATTTATTTCCTCATTGAGTAGCTGGCATACTGCTGCAAAGAAGAGCACTTGATGTCATCTTTTATTTCTCAAATGGTCTTTCTTGGGAAAAAACTATATGAGCGGCTGCCTTTTTTTGGAAACATTTTCATCTGTCTTGGAAAGGCATAAAATAAGTAATATCTGGCAGATGAGGTTAGAAGCAATCTACGTATATTGTTGCTCTTACACAAAAGTGTTGCTTCAGCTGATTACATCTCGCTTTTGTGAATGAAGAGGCTTTCCCCCTGCAGCCATTTTCCAACAGTAAAGTACACAGTACCTTCTCAGATTCTAAGTGTGTGCACCAACCCTTACCAAGGCTTCCTTGATCTGACTCTTACATTTATGAACTTGGGAATAAAAATCAAATACACTGATTTCAAAGTAAACTCAAGTTGAAAATTACACAATAGCTGTATTTTCAGATGTGTAGAGATATCTGAAGTGCAAATATTTTATTTTATGCAGTTTGACATGGAGTACAAATGGAATAGAAATCCTTTAAGGATTCAGAAACATTAGAATAAACACAGAGAAGGGCAAAAAGAACATTAACAGGATTAGGAACAAAGTCCTATGAAGAGAGACTGAAGGTCGGTACATTTAGCTTAGAGAAAAGGCTATGGGAATATGTTAGCTCTTGTCAAAATCTCAAACATGTCAAGATCTGTTCTCTCTAATTGCAAAGTGCAAGTCAAGAAATTCCCCAGAAGGTGATGGGCTCCCCTTCACTGGATATGTTCAAGTGGAGAGTACTGTAGACAGTCTTCTGCTTAAAATGGACAGCTGTGCTAAGCAGGTGCTGAAGTCAATGGTCTAAAGCAGCGTTTCTCAACACTGACGACTCTAAGACATGTAGACTGCAACTCTCAGAATTTCTGGCTGGGGAATTCTGGGAGTTGCAATCCACACGCCATAGAGTTCCTAAGGTTGAGAAACACTGGTTTAAAGGGCTGCTTCCAACTCTGATTTTCTCTCTCCCATCAGGCCTGGGAAAGCAGGCCCGCCCAACCAGATTCTGAATCGCAACACAAAGCTAGGACAAAGGAGGTCCTGAAACCCAACAGCTGCAGGGAAGAATTGCATTCAGTTCATCCCAGCACCACAGACTCCATCATGTTCTGAGCAAGCACCTCTTTAAATTTGTTCTGAGCAATTATCTCTTTATTGGGTGACTGTACCGATGGCCATTCCTAAGGTAAAAACACCGTCTCCTTAGAGCCAGCTCAACCTTAGCGACTACGAGGTCAGCTCCATATAGTTTGTCTACTTGTGAGCAATATGGAAATCTTCGCCACTTCCTTCGTCCAGGTCTTTTCAGTCTAGCCTTCAGTGCTGGGGGTGCCTGACGATCCGCTTTCCAAAAAGTAACCTGTCGGCCCCTGCTGAACGTCGTGAAATCAGCCAAGGGCATGTCTTGGATGCCAGCCGGGCAGTGTCTTTGGCACCTATTTCTAAACTGAGCTCAGACCCCCATCGTTGTCCAGACTAAAAGACCTTCCTGAACTTCCCGCTCGCGATCTCCCTTCCTTTCTTCCTTCCTGAAGGCGGCCTCGCTTGCCCTCTCCCGGCTCTCCTCCCTTTCCGCCCTCGCTCCCGCAAGGGCAGCCTGAAGGGGTGGGGCTTGAGAGCGCCACCTCTCGTCGCCCTCGGGGAGAGCCGCTTCCTCGCCAGCGTCGTTATCCCGTCAGGTCGGCCCGGGAAGGATAAAAGCCCGGCGGCGGCATGAACCCGCTCAGAGCGCGCTGCAGCCCGCGGTCCCAGCATGAACCGCCTAGCCTTCCTCACGACCGCCCGAATTGTCCTCTTCCTGCTGCTCACCGGGAGCGCTTTGCAGCCCCAGGGTAAGCTGACTTCTGACCCAGGCAGGGAGCCGCAAGAAAGAAGGCGGACTGGGGGCTGCCTTCCAGCCTGGGCTGCCTCTCAGCTCCGCACATCCTCCTGTGCGCAGGTGGCAACCGCTTCTCCTGGGCCAAGCGGGGTTTCTGAGGCGGAGGCTGGAAAGTCGTAGAAGTCTGCTGACTGAACTCCTTCCCCGCCGTTGCCGGAGGTTGGTGGGGAGCGCGAGGGTGAGGCGGTCGCAGCCTCTGCGCACGTTTATCGAGCTGCGTTTGCAGCCGATCTTCCTGCATCTCTACCCGCTTGCTTAGGCTGTCATCAGTCTCCGTTCGCAGAGAGCTTGGAAGAGGGCAGGATCCTGTTTCCCCGCCGCACACGCGCAGAAACAAACGCTTGTAGGGGCCCCCCATCAACTCAGACCCACTCCTCGACTGTATGAGGGGGGCTTCCTGGCTAGGGGATGTTTTGTGCTCCGAAGCTGATTGTGCAGTGCCCCGCAGTCCTCAGACTTCAGGTGTTTTCTGTTTTCATTTGATGCAACTGGGAAGAGAAGCTGATTGTACCTGGGTAGCACAATTCGAATATGGGAACCTGGAAAACTCTTAGCACCAGGCATCTGAAGGATCCCAATACCGAACATGAGGTCTAGGTAGTGGTGTGTGTGTGTGTATAATTGCCTAATTTTGGATGGCATCTGTACAATTTGGTGCCTGAACCTCCCTTTGAGCTTTGCGTTATCAAATCGCAGACCTGGCAACAGGACGTGGGGCAAAATTCTGTGGACGGAAGACGCTTCCAAGGCAGAACTGTCACCCCTGTTCTGAAACAACGATGGCACCAAAAAACACAGCACGTTGTGCTTAGCAAACCTCTTCTTCAAAATCCATCATTTCTGTGACGTACATATGCTTCTTTTGGGTGCTTTTGCAGAACCAGAGATCTTCCTGAGCACTCAATAGATACTTAAGCATATTCACAGTCCCATTTACATGCTGAGGAAGTGCATGGCAGTTTAAAACCAAAAGTTCAAAATACAAGTTTAAATGAAGCTAGCATGACTACTTTCAGATTTCAAATGTATTTATTGACTAAAAATATTTGAATATGATTTTCCATTGTAAAAATCCCAGGCAGGTATACAACAATTATAAAAATGGTACTACAAGAAAAAAGCAGCCTATTATTTGTATGTGGGCTGGCTGAGTTTGTTCAATAGTGAAATAAGGTAAATTTCTAACTTCTGTCATGGCAAAATAACTCATCTAAGAAATCAACAACTGGAGAGGATCCAAACAATTGTTTGATTAGTCAAAAACTATCATGTTACAATAATTTGAAGATCTGTTTATACACAGTCAATATGAAAAGGGGTTTCTATTGATAATTTAACTCATTAATAAAAATTATTTCTAATTAAATACAATACATGTTCAAAATTAAATATCCATAATTATTTCCATTTCCTAATCAGTGCTTACAACTAAAGGTTCTATTTATTTCTATCTATATAAAATAATTTAAGGAACATAAAGTGAATAATTAAAGCATTTTTAGCATTCTTATCCAAATATTTTTCATCAATGTATATACTACACTTTTAATTACTCTTATGCTAACCAAATTAAAATCATTCAGATTCATATTATTCAAATCCAAATATTTGTATTGTTTGACAACTATTGATCAACCTTTCATGACTATAGTATAGTAAATGACTCTAACTGTACTTTTTATCATTTGTTCTCATAGTTCAGTTTTTTCTATTAAATATATTTTATATATTGGTATTTTTGGAAATTGAACTTTCTTCACAAAGTAGAAATTGTGAGTTGTTGTTTTTTTTGGTGGCAATTTAAAAAAAAGCCCATGCTATATTGGCTAGGTTCATGCTGGCTAGGTTAACACAGTCTATAATATAACCTAAGATAGCCTGGGTTATATTAAAGGTACTGAAAGGCACTGTTCAGCCCCAAACCCATGAAAGTAGGTAATCCTTCTTCCAAATATCACTACTTTCAGAAAAGTGGAGCCCATCAGATATGATTTTAAAAAGCTGCTCTGGCTCTTGTTTTTAAAACCAGTGCAGCACTATCATACCTCCTGTTGAGGTTAAGTTGGCCAGGTTGGCTGGAAATATTGGAACAGAAAAGTTGCAGAAGATGAGAAAAATGGGGAGACAATTTCCCTGAGTCTGTAGTCAGTTCAGGCATGGTGCTTAGGTTACAGCAGATACGGATCTTGGGTATGTGTAAGGGTGTCTGTATCAAAGGTAAAAAATAATGACACACGTGCAATAAACCAGAGCTTGAATATTCTGAAAATTTTTATTTATAAAATGTGAAAAAAGAAAGAAAACAGAATGTACTACATGACAACTAAATATGATAGTTGGAGTTTGAATGCTAACAGATTATGTTAACATAGGGAAACAACCACAGAAACCCTTCAGAATAAAGCAATGTTGTAAAAAGGTTTGTTCTTATTCTCTATTACTAAATGTTTATTTGTCAAGACCAGGTTTCTACAATGATAATGTTAAAATTAAGAGCACCTGTGATGATGGGATTATATAATAAATGCATAAATACAAACTGTTCAAATTGTATTTATTCAGTTTGAAAAAAAAAATGAAACCATATCTCCCAAGAAACCTCCAAAAACCTTGATAATTGTTGCAGTTCTGATATAATAAGTGTTTACTATAATGTAAAATCTTTTGCCTGCTTGTGTGGGATTCATTTATGAGTCAAAGTTTGGAGTTGTTTATTTTTCAAACCAGTTAAAAGATTTATCCTTGGGAGAATAGTTGGAGTTAAGTATGTGGTATGGGTCCACTGAGTATACTTATTACTTTCCAGTAAGGCCCATGGAACACATTGTGGTTAACATTTGCATAAATATGAGTAGGATTGCATGGTGAATCTCTGGTTGTTTTTCCTCCACAGCGAGAGAATTGCGCTGCAAGTGTGTGAAAGTCTTTTCCCAGAGAATTTCACTTGAATCCATTGCTTCTGTGGATTTCACACCTGAGGGACCACACTGTGTCAGGCCAGAAGTCATGTAAGTGTCCAGATCTGGCCTGCTCCATTCTTGTTACCATCTGTCAGACAAGAGCTGTTCAGAACTCAGTCACTCAAAAACTAATGTTATTCTTCCCACTGTAACAGAATCACCAGGAAAGATGGGAAACAAGTCTGCATGAACCCCAGAATGCCATGGGTCAAGAGGATTGTCCAAGAGATTATTAACCAGGTATTTACAAACATTGTTGAGTAGACCTGCATGCAAAACCCACTTTCTAGTACACCTTAGCTGTAATCCAGCACACAGTTACTGAAGGCAGTCAAGTTTTTTTAAGCAACCTGAATATAGGATTGCCTCTTTTCTGTTGAAAATCTGAATTCTTATTTTGTTCAAATTGTATTGCAATATACATTATACACACACACACTAAAAAACTAGATGATTTTAATAACACCATTAACAGTTGTATAAATGCAGAACATATATTTTATACCTAACAAAAGTGTTCCTCTGAACACAAGATATATGGGTGCTCCTAAAAACTTTAGCAGGTCCTGTAATTAGGGCCAGATGGTCTGCTGCAAATAGAAGTAGTAAACCTGTGGTTGGAACCCCAAGGAACACGGACAAGAAAGATCAAGTCGTGTGTGGCTGAGATAGCTTTGCCTTTTTCTGCTTCTCAGTTTTCATTTATTTCCTGTCTTTTGCAGCAAAACAACAGGCTGTGACAGAAACTATATTTGGATATGTAACTGCAAGAGAAAATGCTGCAACTGTAAAGAAAGAGAAGGAGAGAGAGAGAGAGAAATTCCTGTGGTAAAAAAGCCAGAAAAGAAGAAAACCGGAAGCCTTAATTATTTTTCTACTAATTCCCACTTTGTTGTATTTATTATTCAAACATATGTGTATGTGTTTATTAGTACCTCTCTATATGGAGGCCATCTGATCAGTTCAGATCAGATTATATAAATATAAGGGACAAAATATTGGGGAGAGTCATTAAAATAAATGAAAGCTGTGTAAAAGCATTACCACATTTTGACTGATATCTTGTTTCTATGATAACTAGGTGTCTGTTTTGAAAATTCTGTTATCTTATACTTTCATTGGGTTTTTAGAAAGTGTTTTAATATGACTATTTCTGTGGAAATGTTAAAAGTAATATTCTTACTTTTCTTAACATTTAGATTTTTAATGTCTTCACTGTTCATCATGTATTACCAAATTCCTTTGAGGCTTAACAGGTTTGTTGCTTCTGGAATACACAAAAATACAGCCACCATGAATGCACATATTAGAAACAAAAGATTTAAAAGTATATAATTTTAGGGCTGAATTACAGTTACCATTTTGGTGCATGGAGTTGATTTCTGGTAACTAATTTAGCAATAGTTTAGAAATATTAATCCAATTATCTACATGATAGTCTTTGTTTTTTCAAGTTTTATGTTGCCTCTTGGCTAAAGTGGATCATTAAGATAATATATGTGACACATTATTATTTTATATATTACAAATTTAATGGAATTGTAACAAACTGCAATTAATATAACAAACTGTTAATATAAAATAATTGAGTACCATTGTAGAATGTCATTTTTTTAAATAAACACACATCTGATATTTTTCCCATGTACTTCTGTGAGAAGGGGTATTGTATCTTGACTTCAGCCAAGCCTTCTCCCATAAGATTCTACTAGAAAAGATGACTGAGGAAACCACATCTCATCCTCATCTTCAAAAAGAGAAAAGAGAGCCCAAAAAGCTATATAGACCTGTCAGCTTCAGATCAATACTGGGCAAGCAGATTATCAAACAACATGTTTGCAAGTACTTGTGCAGGCATGCTTCAATTAACAGGAGTCAGCATGAGTGTTCATGAAGAAATCATGCCAGACTAATCTTATCTCCTTTATAAACTGAGTAGCTTAGTAGATCAAGGACATGTTATAGACTCAGTGAATCTGGACTTCAGTGAAGCCTTTGACAGAGTGTCTCATGATGTTCTCCTTCATAAAATGGTAAAATATGGGCTAGATGTTATTCCTATTAGATTCAGTTGGCTGAATGACTGCATCTAAAGAGTCCTCATCAATCGCTCCACTTCAGATTGTTTGCAGATAACAAAACTGAGAGGGGTGGCTAATACTTAGAAGAAAGAAAGAAGATTAAAAAACATCTAAACTATCTTAAACATTGGGCTGAAATAAATAGGATAGAATTTAACAGGGAGAAATATAAAGTTATGCATTAGGGTAGGAAAAATGTAAGGCACAGGTATTTATTGTGGGAGATTTGGTTTGGCAGTAATAGATCTGAAAGGGGTATGATTGTCATTGCTGACCACAAGTTAAACATGAATTGGCAGTGCAATGCAAATGCTAAAAAAGCAAGTACTATCTTGTGGTGTGTTAACAGAAACAAAGAATCAATGGGAAGAAATTATTTCATTCTAATGGTTTTACTATATTCTGCCCTGGTCAAGTCCCATTTGGAGCATGAGTGGCATGATAGTTCCATAGGACAGTAACAAATTGGGGCAAATTCAAAGAAGGGTTACCATGATGGTGATGTCTGGAAACCGAGCCTCATGAGGAACTTATGGGCATGTTTAGCCAACAGAAAAGGTAGTTAACAGGAGTGTAATAACAGTCTTCATATATTTGAAGGGTTCTCATACAGAAGGGCGGGGGGGGGGAGCTTATTTTCTATTGTCCTAGAGGGTATGACCAGAATCAGTGGGTTAAAATTACTCATGGGAGGAGGGTCAGGCTAGACAACAGGAGGAACTTTCTGACTGTATAAGCTGTCAGCTAGCAAAACAGGCTGCTGTAGGAAGTTGTGAATTTTCCTTCATGTGAGGTCTTCAGAGGACAAACTGGCTGATCATCTGTAGGAGATGCTCTAGTGGATTCTGCACTGCATAAAAGATCAGATCTAAAGTCCTGTCCAGTTCTATGATTTAGAATTGCAACCTAAGACATATGTGTGACTTTTGACAATGAATTAAAATAATTCCCAGATTCATGTCTAGGCTGCACTATTATCACTGGATTATACTGCACAAATATTTTGGCTAACCCGCAGAAAGCAAACAATAATGCCTGATTATAGTATGCTACTCTTTAGTCCACCTTGCCATTCTGAGCTTTAAAGCAATTGGTGAATGTTATGAACTACTTTCCCAGCACCAGTCCAACCTATATTAAGTTTCTAATACTTCTTGATGACACTGCAGATTTCTTGGATTCCACAGTGTTTAGCCTGTTGTATGCAATCTATAGTACTTGGCAGATTATATTTTATTCCAGGTTCTCTTTTACTGTATAAGGCTTTGCTAGATCATTGAGCCTTTCTATTACTCAGCTCTTCACAATGCACTTTAAAACCAACATGAGTTTTTTTAGATTATCCTTGCATCTTGCAGATCTATTCTGACATTCAAATACTATGAACATGATCATACTTTTTTTTAAATCTGCGCTCAGTCGTTACCGACTCTGCAGTGACTGCTTGGACAAGTCCTT